AAGAACATTTATTAATCAATGGAAATAGAAGCAGCAAAACAAGTTCATAAAAACTAGTGTTCCAAATCGAATATCAATTAGTTAATCGAGTCGACGACTATGATTTTTACGAACATGCGATTAATCGATTAATCAATTAATCGATTAATCGATTGACTAACTAATCGATTAGTCGATTAACTAACTAGTCAATTAGTTGATTAATCGATTAGTTAGTCTTAATATATATATATTTGTTCTCGTGAAGCAACACAATTATCGTTTAATAAAACAACAAATAATATTACGCAAAGTAGCTACTCTAAACAGGTAGCAACTTCGGGCATGGCATGAAAATTGCATATAAGTAGTGAAAATTTAAAGAATTCGATTGTCACTTATATTGAGAGTACGATATCGAATTAAATACCTGACTCATAATACATAACTACTATTATTTTAGAATTTGTTAAACGTTAATTTACTAGTAATCGATTGGTTGATTAATCGATTAGTCAGTACAATCGATTAGTCGATTAATCGATTAGTTGGTACAATCGATTTTCAATCGATTTTCAATTGATTGCTTAAAAAAAATTTATCCGATTATTTGATTGCATTTATTGGTCCGATTTGGAATACTGGACAAAACAAGAACATAAATATTTATTTACCATTACTTTTAAATCCATTTCATTCGAATTAATTTAGTCAGTGAGTATAAAGAACATCTATTAATCAATGGAAATAAAAACGGCGAAACAAGTTCATAAAACAAGAACATAAACACTTATTTACCATTACATTTAAATTCATTTCATTCGCATTAATCATTTTATTCAGTGCGTGAGTATAAAGAATGTTTATTAATCAATGGAAATAAAAACAGAAAAACAAGTTCACAAAGCAAGAACATAAATACTTATTTACCATTATGTTTAAATTCATTTCATTCGCATTAATTTAGTCGGTAAGTATAAAGAACATTTATTAATCGCAAAGCAAGAGCATGAACACTTATTACCATTACGTTTAAATTCATTTCATTCGCATTAATTTAGTGGGTGAGTATTAAGAACATTTATTAATCAACAGGAATAAAAAAAGCAAACCAAGTTCACAAAACAAGACATAAATACTTATTTGCCATTATGTTTAAATTCATTTCATTCGCATTAATTTAGTCGGTGAGTATAAAATTATTTGCATCCGGCATAAAGTTCAAAACTGCAGATGCGAAATAAACATTATATATTATATAGAAAACGTTTATGTGGAAAATGTGCACATTGTAATAAAGATAACACTAAGGATGTATGGTGCCTATCATGTGACCCAGACATAACGACAAGGTGGACAAGTAAAAATAGAGTGATTGACGATTGCGTGAAAGAATTCCAACTTAGAGCCGGTGCATATGAAAATGCGATTGAATGGATTCCATTTAATAGATTATCAGATGTTAAAGAAATCGGTAAAGGAGGATTTGGTTCTGTGTATTCAGCAACCTGGTTGGATGGTGTACGAAAAGTTGATCAAATTGATAGTTATATATACAAAAGAGCGCGTGAACCATCCAGCACCGTTGCACTCAAGACGTTATCCAATTCTAAGGAAAACAAATTTGATTTTTTAAAAGAAGTAAGCTAATTTACTTTTTTTTCATAATTAGTTTATGTATATTATTTTATAGAGCTGACTTTAACTTATTGCTTAAACTTTTAAGTTTAAAAGTCTTATGGAATGCAAATTACAGTATTATCCTACTAGGCTCGCAATCTATGGAATAACTCAAAATACAGAAAAAAATGAATTTCTGATGGTATTTCAGTATGCTAATAATGGAAGTCTTTACAAATATTTAAGAAGTAATTTTAGTGAACTTACATGGCAGGCTAAATTGCGAATTCTTGGTGATATTTCAGAAGAATTATACTATATTCACGCCGCAAAATATGTTCATGCAGATTTTCATAGTGGCAACATTTTGCAAGACCAATCCACCAGTAAATATATAAAAACTTACATCGCAGATTTAGGATTGTCTAGAAAAAAAGATGAAAAAGTTTTAGAAAAAGAGATTTATGGAGTTATGCCCTATGTTGCACCGGAAGTTTTATTAGGCGAGCAGAAGTTTACACAAGCAGCAGATATTTATGGATTTGGTATTATTATGACAGAAATGTCAACTGGACAAAGACCTTTTGATGGTCATAAATTTGATTATAAACTTGCAGTAAAGATTTGCAAAGGAGAGAGACCAAAGTTTGCACCTGGAACTCCTAGATGCTATATTGAATTGGCCGAGAAATGCATGAATTCTGATCCGCAAAAACGGCCCAGTGCTAGAGATCTTTTAGATAAAATAAGATTTTTGTTTCGTGATGAAACTAAAAATCAATTCTTAGAAGCCGATAAAATTATTAATTCATTGCCAATACCAAAACATTCTGATGAAATGTATACTAGCAAAATTATTAGTACAAAATTAATTTCAGAGACAATTAAAGGTATTTATTTTCAACTCATATATTAAATTTATACTATATTAATTTTATTTAAAAATAATATTATTTGCTTATTTAGATTTATCACAATCAGATTCTGCTCAAATTAATCTTGATGTTGCTGAAGTAAATAAATTTTAGCTTATTAAATTTGTATCTTTTAAATGTAGCGTGTTAATATTTCCAAAATAGATTGTAGATTAACTCGTGTAACCAATATTATATGATGTTGAACTTGATTATGTAATATTGACTTTGTTTCTTTTCTAGCCTGCCTGATAAATTTATTATTGCATGATAAGGAAAAAGAAATTTTAAAAATTGCACCAAATTCAATTTTTTAAATGAAACTAGAAAATTAGTTTGTTTATTTCTGATAGAATCGTGGAATTTCAAAGTAAAAGCATAAGGAACTTTAGTGTATTTTTTTTTATTAGAATACATTCTTTTTCATTACAATAAAATGTTTATTGGAATACACTTTTTTTTTTATTAGAATACATTCTTTTTAATTACAATAAAATGCTTATTGAAATACACTATTTTTCATTACAATAAATTTTTAAGTTGCACAAAAAAATGCTTTGTGCATCTCAAGCATGTTCCGGGATAATGCTTTTGGTCATTAGAAATGATATTTTTTAAATATATATTTTATATGTGTATAAGTCATTATATAGTATAATAATAGTTGATATACATGTGTCATCAAAAGTAATGTTAAAGAAATCGGCAATCGGAATCATTGATTTCTTTTCTTTTTTTTTTTATTTGCAAATTTCACTTCACTTATTGCGGTTTGCAAAAAAATGTGAAATTTGCAGATAAAAAAAAAAAGAAATCGATGATTTCTGATTGCCGATTTCTTTAACATTACTTCTTATGACGTATGTATATCAACTAATACTATACTATATAAAGTCTTATATATATTTATTTAGCACACATTTTTTTAAAAAAAATTCATTTCTAATGACTAAAATTATTATCCCGGAACATGTCTTTTTTGTCAACTTCTAAAATTTATTGTAATGAATATATATATATATTCCAATAAGAAAAGTTAAACTAAAGTTCCTTAGCAATATAATGTGATAATTCTTATAAGATTGAATTTAGTGCAGCTTTTAAATTTTCTTCTTGCTTATCATGCAATAGTAAATTTTACCGGGCTAAAAAAAAAACAAAATTTAATATTACACAATCAAGTTCCTTACAATATGAAGAGTATGCAAAATATATTTTTACAAAAAGATACTAAATCAAAATATGTTACAAAATTATGAATCTACAACTTTTTTTCTGCAAAAAATGTTAAAGAAATCGGCAATCAGAATCAGAAATCATTGATTTCTTTCTTTTTTTTTTGATCTTCAAATTTCACATTTTTTTGCAAACCGCAATAAGTAACATAAATTTGAATCAACAAATAATAAAAATTAAATAAGATAATGATTTTACAACAGAAGTTTTAGAATTCGATTATACAAATTTTTATAATTGCTTTCAGAGTTGGAATGGCTATTAACTTATATTTTATTGAAGTCTGAAAAGACTTATTGAGGCAAAAAGCAAGTATATATATATATGTTTCGATATACATAATACTCAATTAATGGGTCAAATTACTTTTATTATCCGACAGGTCCTATGTGCGCACTAGACGTTTTTTGTATATATTATTCGATCACTCTCTAATCATGTGAAAACTCAATTTTTTGATATTATTTCTTTTTGCGTAACTCATAAAATTCATATTAGTGAAAGTTAAGGAAAAAAGATTTAACGAAGGAAAAAAAGTAAAAAAGAAGTTAAACGAAAAAAATGATGAGCGAAAGTGGAAAAGTAAGCGAACGTAAAAAAAGAGTAAAAGTGAGTCTAATGATTAGAAAGATCGAATAATATATACGAAAAACGGCAGTGCTTACGTCGGACCTTACGGATAAAAATGTTATCAGTTAAGTTGTAATGAAAACTGATTATTCGTAGGGAACAATATAAATGACGTGCAAAGCCACGTGATTTATATAGTAACCTAACAATAAATCAGTTATCATCCACAACCTAACCAATAACAAGTACTTATCTCAACTATATATCATTATAGATACTTTTTTAGAGATTATTTTTTTTTAGCCTTGCATCGCATAATACAACATAATAATGCATTATGCAATTCTATAATTTTTTTTATAAAAATCGAGAAATATACTGTACTTCTTTAGATTTTTAGAAAAAAATTTATGAGAATTATGCTTATCTAATAACATTCAAATGAGGTTATTTTTTCAGGTAAAAAAAAGTAAAAATTTTTTCTATCATTTTTAGAAAAGGCATTAAAATTTTGATTACTTAATTTATCTAATTGAATCATATTTTGTTCTTGCTGCCAGTTAATAATTATTTGATCGAATTCACACGTTTGATAAGATTTATCTACATCGTTAAAACTTTAAGACCAAGTTAATAAACATACATGAGATAAGAGAATAAAATTGAATAGAAACTTTGTATTTACCAGCAAAATGAGGCTGTTCTCTGTGAACCATTTTCATCATTAATCAGTTGATTTATGTCTTTAATATCATAAACTGAAAGACGCATTGAACATTTTGAATTAATTTTTGGTAATCCAAGCATGCACGTGTTTAATATGCAAGACTCTATAATATCTCCATATTTAGGAAATTCTATTTTATACTGGTTGTCTACTTTAGAAATAGGAAGTCCACCACTTTTGAGCACCACAGGATAGTTTGCCTGGTCAAAATCAAAGTTTATAGGCTGACCAACAATGATCCACCCAACTTTTATAGGACTATTTGGATATTTTTTATGTAAAGAATTTTTACGATGAACTATGATTAAAGGTATATGCTCATTCATATAAGCTATTCGTAAAGAAAAAATATCTCTATCACTTTTGTCAATAATTGAGGCAAAGATATAACAATTATTAATATTAGTAATTTCATTTAAGTCCATAAACTGCATGGATAGTGAATGAACATATGTCGCATTTGTTGAAAAATCCCAATTTAACGGAATATCATTGACACCCGCTACAAAATACAAATAAAATTAATAGTGAACATAATTAATGTTTAGTACATTAGTATTATAAAGTATCATACCTTGTAAAATACGATGGCCTAGAGCATCAAAAATTTCATTCTGTAAATTATCATCTAATATATCAAAAATTGAATAAATTTCATCGTATTCAATAATATCCCAGGCATCATAATTATTAAGAGATTTAATCCAAGATTTTAAAGAAAAACCATTAATATGTTCTTTAATTCCACCGATGACTCGGACTTTAAAATTATGGCTATCATCATTATCTACTGTTAAAAAAAAAAAAAAAAAAATTATTTAATGTAATAATCGAATTTTATTTATAAAAAAAGAATTTAATTTATGACTAATTATAATTTACTTATGATTTCTTCATTAGATGTCTCCTTAATTACAGCCCCTCCAAAAACAAGACGACGTGCGTAAAAATTGCCATATTCCTTTGATATCCTGCGAAGTTGCACCTCTTTATTTTCACTATTTAACGCATTCTTAACCTCTGCAATAAAGTCATCTGTAGGATTAATGTTTAGTTTTGAAATGTTGAGTTCTTCTTTTTCCCATTTTCTATATGAACACTCTGTAGTCGTTATTCGATCAAGCAGTTTGCAAGAAGAATGTTGTGGTACTCCAAGAAAAACAGAAAGACAAGGTAAAATGGTTGAAATATTTTTACAAGACATAAGGTTTCGTTTGAATAATGCATCTAATTTGTTGTTACACTTTTCCACTTTTTCGATTACATTGTTTAGTTGAGTTTTTGGTTCAACTTTGTCAATATTAATCGTGAATGCTTGTTTAGAAGCACTTTTAATGAAATTATTATTATCTAATATATATCCCTCAAATTTCGATGTCAAATTAAAGCAAGATGATTGTTTACTATTTAAGACTTTTAATTGCAATAAATCAGTAAAAGCTTTACTTGCATCATCATCGTTAATATGCTTTCTCAATGCATGTTGGTTTTGTACATTGTATTTGTCTCGAATTTTATCAAAATTATTTTCTTTAGGAAAAATATATTTATGCTTTTCGTTATGGTAATTATCGTTAAGATAGCCATTGCTTCCCATTTTCCGAACTAATAAAATGGAATGTTCTAACTTGTCATGTAACGTACGTACGTAAGTCAATTTTTTTTGTCGGAGTTATTCTATTTATATTTTTATTTTTCAAAACACAATAGTATATAAGGAAAAAAAAGTCCGAATCCACAAGCGGTATGTTATGTTATACAAATTCTTAAATTTGGATAATCATTTTGATAGCATGGTACATAATTAACTTTTTACTTTTTTTAAATTATTCTTCACTGTTTATATTGCGTAATTAATTGTTATCCAAAAGTGTTATATACATAAGCCAAGCCATAATTGCGTAATCTTTTAAAGTATAAATTGTATTGTGGCTAACTCACTCTCTAAAAAAAATAATAAAAATAAAAATAAAAACGAAAAAAGAAACAAGAAAATATCAACGTATATAATATTAATAACAATAAAACGAACTTGCACAGTTATTGGCGAAAAAGTATTTACAATTTTGAATTAGAATGATTTTTACAGAATTAATTGTAAAAAGATGTCATCCATTCTTAGCGAAGCATACGCAGAGTGTGATGATGTAGAAAAAGTTTGCAAAGCAGCACAGTACAATAAGTTGATGTGTAATTATCTTAGAAAAGTAATAACACTTTCAGCAGAACCAGCGGTAAAATTATTACAACGTCAAACATATAGCCAAGAAAATAATGTCTCAACCGAAAATATAAACAGATTTAAAAATTCATTAGTGCGTATCAAAAAATTTGTTGAGAGCATAACGCAGATTTATATTCCTATAAAGTATGAAGATGCTACAAATATTAAAAATGATTTTTATCAAATTATGGAGGAATATTGGACTTGTGTGAAAGATCTGAATAATTTATCAACCATGTTTAGCATTTGCTTTAAGGAGGACGAAATTGAAGATGTATGTTAAAATATTTCACTATCCAAAGACAATATTATTTGACTATTAATTTTGATGTGTGAAAATTGAAACTCATGTAATATATTAACCATAATTTTCTTTATCTATTCTTAGTTTATTAAGATACAATCCTTAGTGAAGAATAATCTATTTAGCCATGGTTTGATTATTAGCGATCGGGGAATAGCCCCAACTAATAAATCCGGAGCTCGATACAAAATTATTATTGAACCTCATAGCACTAAAAACTTCTATGTGAATTTAGTGCCTATTAAGACACAAAGTGATACTTTATTAAAATATAATATTAAGCCATCTGCTATTAGCTTCCAGGATCTTCAAATTATTTCAAGTCAATTGTCTAATGAATTTTCAAATAACGTTTATCTAGAAATTCGGTTCCCTTTATGGGAATTAATTTTCAGGAAAGAAGATATAATTATTCCTGAAAAATTAATCGGAGGTATTAAAAATGCTTTGAAATGCAATAACCCATATCAGGAATTGATGCAAATTTTTAAAGATCATGGGCACTTTGTACCGGGCAAAGTTATTCTTGGTCATAAATTATATAGAATGTCTTGTCTAGAAAAGAACAAAACTTTGTCAGTAAAGAAAAGAATCGTAACTTGTGAAGATTTCGAAAAAATCGAATTTAAGGAGCTTTGGGATCAATGGTATAATTCAATCGTGCATTTCAACTTTAATGAATCATATTTATTATCAACATATTCCGAGATGTTTAAGAGAGAAGACCTTAAGGGGTGGGCAGAATCTTGTCCAAAGGAAAATATTTATGATGTGCAAATCATTAGTTGGGATAAATTATATCCTTTATATGAATTATTAGATGACAATTTAGAACAAAAAGTTAAAGCCGTGTTGGGAATAGAAAATATAACGATTAAAGAGAAGGTATTAATGTCAGGAGCCATCCCAATTACAGACTCCCTTTACTACTTTGTAAAATTTCCTTGTAAACTAAATAATGAAAATTATCGCATCTTTGGGAGATTAGTAGCACAAGATGGGAAACCAATTAACGCAATTATAAAATTTAAGGCCTTAACACCGCATGGTTTTGTAATGCTGATTTGTATTGATGAAACTGTGTAAATATTCATTTAATTATTTGTTAATAACTGTATAATAATTTCTAATCTTATTTCAAATTTTAGTAGATCCAAATATTCGAATCTAAAAGTATTTTGGATCATGGTTGGATTACCTGAAATTGGCTTTTATAGTCCAAACAGTAGGGATATCCCTATATTGGCTTCTGGTAGTTACAAATTTGCGTATGCAAAGGATTTTGACATTGCAGTATTATTACCGGATAATCTACCAACAAACTGGATATTTTATATCTCTTTTCAATATCATAATTGTGGGCCGAGTTTTAGTGCCACTATTTATTACAGTAAAGTCAATAATAAAATTAAAATTAAGATCTATGATTCTTCAAAAATACATTCGAGTAAATATGATCAATCAAAAGAAGAATATTTACTTCATTGGTGTATTCTTCCTAAAGGTCATGAAATTTTAGTTGATGTTCTTAAGAGCCAAAGGGTTTTAATCGATGTACTTCCCCAAAATCTGGAAAGTTTAGCAAATATTCTTGAAAATCAAGAAATTTTAACTGATTTATCTCGTGATAATCCTTCGGAAACAAGATTTAACTTAAACTCAATAGGACAAGGTGAATATAACCTAAAATCTCAAAATCATGATGATCAGTGTTGGCCTTTCTAGGTCATATTCAACTTTATCATAATATAGTAGTAAGTAACCTATATATAGATAATATATTATAACCAACTTCTATGTTTATTATTATTATTATTATTATTATTATTATTATTATTATTATTATTATTATTATTTATTATTTGTATTCAGACTTTATTTTATATGCGCGCATATTATTTTATTTTTATGTGTATTAAATAAAAAAAGTTGTTATTTATCATCACTGGTAATCGTCACTGGTGTTGTTATACCTAAAAAGCCTACTAAGTAATTAGGGTTGGAATACTAAGTAAAAATGTTCAAAACTCCCAAAACCTCATGTAATCTAAAATTGAACTATTATATATAACCCTCCAATATATTCCAATTCTAAATTTTAGCAAAAAAATATATTGGTGTTAAACACCGCTGGAGATTTGTAGTTATTATATACTGTATATATATACGTATATGTACATTATCATTATTTAACGTTGTCACAACTAGGGATGTAAAACATAAAATTTAATTTTCATGCAAGACAACGGAGTGAGTTCGAAGAAAAATGAATTTAAATTTTATGAGCAGTTTTTTCTTAAATAAAAATTTCGAGAGATTGATTCCCATTTTCAATTACTTAGAATCCATCCAGCATTTATTTAAGGAACAAATTCGTGTAATGCCGAAATACAAGATGGGATGAATGTATTGTATTATTGTTCAACTCTCACGTTTTTGAATTTATACTCAATAGCACAATTATACAGGACCTTTAAAAATTTTACCTCAAAAACGAGGATATTATCGGAGATACAACTTTATGTTGAAGACACATTTTACACACACTTAATGACTTCTAATGTTGTAGCTGTTGGTGAAATAAGAAAGCGAGCCAGTAACTGGGGGATATGGTATAATACAAGGCAAAATGTGCTTCTCGTAGAAGCACTTAAATGTATGGTTGTTGCCCTTAAAAGAATATTGCAACTGAAATGACATTAAAGAACCTGAAATAAACAACAATTATGAAATGTGAATAATACTCATTTCGATAATCATTAGCACCATTTGCAACCAAATTTTCAATAATATCATTTTCGTTTGTTTAGCAATACAGCATTGCAGTATCATTGAATTCTGCATTGTTCCGATCAAAAAGAAATGCTGGCACTTTGTTGTCTCCTTTCAAATATTTCAGGACGATGGTTGTAAAATTATGTGTTTGAAGGATTGTGGGGAGTCTTTCAGTAGCTAAATAAAAATTTTAAACATTTTAATTTAACTTACTTTTTACCGCACTTTTTTTGCGAATTTGCGAACTTTTTTTTCTTGAACTATGACTTTGAGAAAACAGAGCAAATACCTTTATTGTTAATAAACTTAAAAGGATATAACAGCAGCTTTTTTGCTGATCCTGTAATTTTCCACTGATAATAGGCACAAAAATATTTACGTCGGACATAACCCAATGATGTGAATGTTTCTGCATCTATCGCTACAGTACCCCTTCTATAATGCTCCAACGAAATTCCACAAGCATATAATTATATAGTTTGTGAAAGAGTAATTGCCTTTTAAAATAATTTTACTTACCGTTATATGTAAACTCAAAAGAATTAAACTATTTGATTAATATTAGAGTTTGGAACCGTGTTTACAGTATTGGTTTTAATCGGTTTTAACATATGAAGAGTTTAAACTCTAATATTAATATTCTATTTGAATGAAATTATAATTTAAATAATAAATAACATATAGTGCTTCCTTATTTTTTATTAAAAAGATATGCAACTTACAACTAAATCTTATTACACTCAGATAAAGTTCAAGTAAAAAAGAAAAAAAAAGCGATAAATTTATCCAAAAATTTTGAATATTTATCAATAAATTCAAGTTCTAAACTTACTTTTAAACCACATGTATTATATGATGTTATTCATATTTTTATACGTGATCTGTTATAGATGCTTAACAGTCCTCGAGTGACTATATACAGACAATCCTCCATCAGTGGATTCGATGGGTACGAATTTATGAAAGCATTTTTTAAAAAATTATGATTTACTTATGGAGGATTGACTGTGTTTATAATTTAGTATAATAAATTCTATCCTTTCAGATTCCAAAGATGGTGTGCCTAGAGCTTTATAAATAATTTCTTTATAATTGACATTGACAAAACCGTGATTACAACAATTTTCAAAAAATTGATTCACTAGTATTATTTTTTCATTATGTGAAGAAGGCTCAGCTTGTTCAAAATTGCTATTTCCAGGAAAAATGGTACAATTATCCTTTTCGGTGCCACGAAATATATTTGATTCAGTTTTGCTCTTTGTCCAATTAATATCCATCTGACCAGCGTTACATTCTTGATTAACATCGATAGTACTGCCAAACAAGTATAGAAAAACTGTTAGTAAAATTATTTAATAAATTGCAGTAAATAATTCACACTATAATAATAAATAAATTACCAAACAAATAATTTTAATCTTTGTAAAAGTTCGTCACCATTGACCAAATCATCTTTAAGATCATGAATAAATATGCAAGCTGAATGACTAGAAGGAATAATATGTGCACCAACAACAAATGTTTCTTTGGTTGTTTCAGATGCAGCTTCAAGTATGCATGTGCTCATTATATAAGAATTATCACATTTTGGAATTTCAACCTTATAATGTTTACCTAATTTAGAAGAGACAGAGTATTTTTTACTTTTGAGCACGATAGGATATTCGGTCTGAGCAATATCAAAATCAAAATTATTTGGTTGACCAACAATAATCCACCCGATTTGTAAATATTTATGTTGAATTCTTTTACTTGTGATATTATGAACTACGATTGCTGGACTATTTTCGTCGTTAATATATTCTATTCTTAAAGAATAAACACCTTCGTTTTTGTTCATTATTGAAGCAAATATATGACAATCTTGAATATTTGTAATTTTACTTAATTCTTCAAAGTATGGAGCCAATGGATATATATATGAAATTTCCTTAGAGAAATGATTTAATGGAAAAATTTTCTTAATACCCGCTATCAATTAAAATATAAAATATATTAATAAATATTTATAAACATAACACATAATGATAAAGTTTAGTTAGATTAATTACATTACCTTTTAAAATTCGATAACCCAACACGTCCAAAACCTTCTTTCTTAAATCATCATCTAACAGATCAAATATTGGATAAATATCACTGTATTCAATTATTTTCCAATTTTTAAAATCTTTGAGTGATAAAAGCAACTCTGGCATTGAAGAAATATTGCTAGGATCTTCTCCACAAATTATTCTTAAATTGCTATTGTCTAAATATTATTAAAATTATTACCATTTTTAATAAAGAAAAAAAAAATCATACATCAAAAATTATACACTACTTACTTGAACTATCAGACTCTTTTATTATAGCTCCTCCAAAAACAATACGCCGTGCATAAAAATAACCATAATTTTTTGTTATTTCACGAAGGCAAGAATCTATTTTGTCATTACATGATTTCAATGCAATTTCAACGTCACTTTCAAAATTCTCAGTCAAATTTAAACATTCTTTTGAAATTGAAATTTCAGCTCTTATTGACTTTGTCAATAAAATTTCTGTGGATGTTAAATCTTTGAGTTTTTGCTTAGAAGACTCCTTTGGCATTCCAAGAAAAATAGAAAGCCAAGGTAAGATAGTTGAAATATCTCCATATGAAATAAGATTTCTATTGCATAAAATATCTAATTCATGTTTGCATAATTTTTTTTGTTCATCAGTATCATTAAGAGTTTTAGATATAATTTTATCTTTATTGATTTTAAATGCTGCCTTAGGCGCATATTCAACTAGATTATTCCTGAATATGAACCCTTTCTTGATCATCTCTATTAATTCTGTCCAAACATCAACTATTTGAACATCAAAACAGTCTATACTAGTAGAAGGCCGTAAAATTGACTCTAAAGATATATTAGATTCTTCTTCGTGAAGAATGGGTTCATTGTTTTTATTCACAAAATAATCAAATTCTATATCATTAGTCTTTTCTTCGTTTAGAATCATCTTCCGTACATGATTGAGTTTTTCCTCATTTGAAAATTCAAATTTATAAGATTTAATAGATGGATTGACCACTTTAATGTTTACTTTGATCATGGAAAGTTGTTTGCCGGAGTTATTTTTCTTAGTAGTCGTGATTGTTTCTATCTTGGGATTATAGTTTTCGACTAAGGCTTGAAGAGTCTCAAGAACAAGCCTAGTTTCTGGTCGTTTTTCAGGATCATGATTCCAACAATTGACATAGAGTAACATATAACTTGTTGGCGTACCGCCTACAGGTTCTTCCCTCATTCCTTCAAGAATTTTACACATGACATAAAATGAACCTTTGTCTTGAAAAGGTTGTCGACAGCTAGAAATCTCCCAAAGAATAACTCCAAAGCTGTAAATGTCAGATTTCTTAGAAATATAATTATATTTAGGATTTTCAAGATATTGAGGGTCGATATATGCAGGCACTCCAAAAGAAGATAATATTTCAATATCCACATTTTCATGTTCGGATAATCCAAAGTCTGCAATCATGGCTCTCCCTCTATGAACTAAGATATTCTTTGAATGCTAAACGTATTATGGAAAATATTATTTTGGTTAACGAATATAGTAAATTATAGCCGTGTAAAGCATAAAAAAATATTTACAAAATCTCTATGAATAATTCCATTGTCGTGTAAAAAGTTTAGTCCTTCGGCTATTTCTTTTGCGATAATTAATTTATCGGACCATCCTAATGTCTTTTGATTTTTATTTAGATAGTCCCTTAAATTCCCATCCTCTGCATATTTTAGAATAAAGGTGGTTTGATTGTTCTCATCTTTAATTTATTTTAGATTAACATTATAAACTTTATTTTATCACAATCCGAAAAGAATCAGTAATTATCAATTTAAATTTTGAATACCTTTGGTGACACCATAGAATTTAATAATTTTCTCATGAAAAGCAAAATTCTTAAAAAGTTGAAGCTGCATAATTTAAAGAAGCCGTACTTCTTAATATGAAATTCAGTGTTTAATACGTTATAAATACATGTTGGTACCTCTTTGCAAATGTACTTTTTATCTCGACTGGGGTTTGGTCGTTTGAGGGCAATTATTTCCCTATTCCATATAGCTTTATATATTTTTCCATATGCACCTTCACCAATTTGCTCCAAGATATTAAATTCGTTGTAATCATACTGATTTTCTTGATCTTCACCTTTGGGCTGTTCTGACATACGTATGTTTATGCTGGCGAAAATTTAAAAGCAAAAGAAATCCACCAGATTTCCTAAATAAATTTATTTACATATGTATTACAATCAAAAGGTGTTGATATGATTTATGTGTAATGTTGTGCGAAGGTAGAACGTAGGATCCGGGACCATAAATGTGCATTAAGTAATGACTTTCTTATTATGTCCATAATAACTATGTTCACAAAACAACTTCAATCGGCAACAATCAGGTGATTATTGCGATATGCAAAATTTGATAAAAAACATATCATTTTACAAATAACGATAAATAATCATATCTATACTAATATTTTGATAATGTCACGAAATGTTTGTCCGCTTTCCATATTTGTCATTAGCAAAACAACAAAGAAATTCTTACATTGTGACTATGAGTCATATTAATAAAGTTTTGTGCTATATTTACATATTTCGAGATTGAGATGACACATTCGCAACTGATTTCTGCCATATTTCTCAGATTCTCAATTACTGCTTACGAGATGATTGATTATGGTTGAACTTTACGAAATCATTGTGCCACATAGCTATGTAACTTTATTTATCTCATTTAAAATTTTAGAGCAGTCATTTGAATCGTTGAGTAAGTATACAACACGTATTGTCATGGATGAAAAATAGCAGGATTTCCTACGCTGTATTATTGGAAATTATACGATCATTTACATCGAATAACACGAGATTTATGTTTTATTCTTTAATATGATACTTATTATATATCGATGTATACACATGCACGCAGGTAGCAGCTAACAGAAATGAACCTTCCAAGTAATAGATTGTAATATAGTCAACTCTTCATAAAGAACTAATGATTCTAGAAAAAAAAAAAGTTATTATAGAAGATTAATATGTTTCTTAAGAAACGCTATTTTTATACTGAAATACATATGAAATGTTAAAATTTAGTTCGTTATAGAGAGGTTCATTATATTCAGAGTTGACTGTATTTCTATAACAAAATTTTTATTAAATAGCTAAGAAATTATTAATATAGCATGAACATTGAAAGAACAAAGAATCTATACTTTGTCATTTTATGCTTCATAACAATTGTAGTAATACTAGTGTAACGATTAACTTTCTCTGTGTCTCATCACTTCCGTATTTGTCTAATTCTTTATCACTTACGTACAGTAGCCAACAAAAGTAACATCCGATTTTTGCTCAAAATAGAAAATTTTTATTAATATAATTTTGGCCGCATATATATCAAAAAAAATTTTTTTTATTAATTTAATACATTATTGAATGCACGTGTACATTCAATATTATTCGATTCTACATGAAATTTGGCCCAAACCCACCCGAAGAATGAATGCATTAAGGCTTTTGTATCCTTTTTTTAAGCTGGCTTTAAGATCGTTTATACATTCAAAAGGGTTTTAAACTTTTGGATATTATTATTTAATGCTTTCTAATTGTTTTTAATATGTTTAGGTCGGGGGTCTTCTTTTTTTTGTTTTTAAACAATTTTGTAGTTTTTCTAATAATACAAAAATGACAATTATCACATCAAACCATTAAATATACTTAGATTAATAAACAAATAAACCACAAAACAGAAAAAGATAGTTCCTAAAAGCTTTAATATAAAAAAATTTTATTATTTTCGTTATTTAAATTCGAATTAAATGCTAACAAACTTTAACTATACTCGCGAAACATCCTCAAGCTATTACAAACCCTATCTACCCCTAAAACTCAACACCAACTGTCCAGTTTTATTTTTTTTCATTGTGCAATATCATACTTTAGTATTTTAGGTTCACTCATTTGCTTTGCTTTTTGTCAAAAATTGGCACACCTTTACTTGTATACATTTCTATTTTTTTTTTTATATTAAAATTAATGTATTAGTTATATTATAATTTATAGAATAGAAAAGAACTCTTCCCGTAGATCACTTTACCAAAATAGGAACAAGAAGAAAAAACTTTCCCATGACATTTTCTCAAAAACTTACTAAGTAAATTAATATTTGGCTCTTAGTAAAGTTGTCCAGCACCTCTAAAACTACCTAAAGAAGATGCAAATTTTATTAAAAAACTCCACTACAACAAGTTAGTAGCAATAAACTTCCAAAACAACAACAAAGCAGTTTTTCAATCCTCCCGCGAAAGCAGTCCTAAGGATTCCCAAATTTCAGATAAACAAAAACAAACTACAATTAGTGTTCTTAGCTAAAATAACCAACAGCAACAAGTAGTATATCTTATTAAGCCCCAAGACCTCAATAAAAACATGGCCTCCAGAAGCACCTCTTCTTACTTTGAATTTTTTTCCCAAACTCCCAAGCCTGTACAACTAGAAGACACCCCTATTATCAGCTTACCATTAGATCCTAGTGTAGAACACATTAAACATTATTATCAAAGAGTGGTCCAAACATAACTTTTTCCAACGATCACTAAAACCAAAATTTCCTAAACAATTTTTTATTCATAAGTCAGCAGTTGTTATTTAGAAGTAGTTCTCATATGCTACCTGCTAACTTCTTCAGAGTTTATCACTTACCACTAGTACAGCACTTGTCATTTAGAAGTAGTTCTCATACACTACTTGCCGACAAGTTTAGAGTTTATCACTTACTGTTTAAGTACAGTAGCTCTTCCCCTTTCCTAGAAAAAGGGTTACTAGTCACTGGTTCTTTCAAGGATAAAATACTTTCTTTGGGTACTAGTGGTTCTTCTTTTAAGTCTCCCTTGGTCCTGTCAGTCTTCTCCAAATTTTTCGACAAAAAGTGGGTGATTTGGCTTACTCTCTCCAAAAGATTGGTATTGTTTACCTCCTAAATTCAGAAGTACCCAGAAATGCAATCACGTGCCTTGTTTATTGGTGGATATGTGACGCGATATAGTCTATAGATACAGGACCTCCATGTGACTGGGATCAGGTCTATAGCGGCGTCTGGAAGTGGTTGGTAGTCAGATAATAATTTGTTGGATTTTGTAGTTGAGATATACAAATGTTGTAGTTGTTATAAAATTTTTTCTTAAATCTGACATAGGTTATAATAGTGTATTTTTCTTCATTCCATTTGTACTGCTTCTTGATAGAGGTAGTTTTCTTTGTTGGCCCTTGGGCTTTTCTCTTTGATTTTCTTTTTTTACATTTCATTGTACCCTTTTATTTTTCCTTTAAAATTCCCTCTTCATTTTATTTGTTTTTTTTTTTAGTGAGTTTTTTGTTTTGTTTTCTTGGTATTATTGGTGGTTTTGTATTGGATATAAGATCATCACTTTCTTTTGCTCTCGGTAAAGAAAGAGAATATGAAGGGAAAAGCTTTGATGAGCTGACAATGTTTATCTAACTTGTATACAGGTTGGTGCGACAAGTCGCATGTGAGCACGTTTATCACAGCCGGGTGATATTAGGCTCGCAATTGCTAGATGCCATTTATGGTTATGAATGATATGCATTGTTCGAGAGAGTTCAACTCTCATCTAAATATAGTCTTAAATAAATTGAGCACTGGCAAGACTGTCAAAAAATTAAAAAAAAAAAGACTGGTCCAAACTTATATTTTCTGTTAGCTTCTCTTTTCCTGAATACGCTAACAACTTTATCTACTTTATTGATATTACTAAATCTGGTAAGATCCTCAACCTGACTAACTACCCATCACAATGGGTGTGCAAACATAAAGATCTTACCTAATTAGTTCTGTTTGACCTCACATCACAGAAAAGCAACATCATCAACATTAGTGCCAAACTCCCAAAACCTACTTGAAATAGTGACCTTGCAACAATCTTAGACCTATATGAGGCCAATATGAAACTATATTTGAAAGCTAGAGGTATAGAAAACTTAGCCTCAATTCTGTACAATGTTATCACAAACCTGGACTCAGACAACAAGTTTAACAGAAGTAACAATGAACAAGTTGTATATACAGATTCTTCTACTAATCCTAGTCTTTCCTAAGACTTGAATACAGATTACACAAATACTAGTACAAGAACAACACTACCAACCCTTCTAGCACCAATAACACCACTAGAGTGACCTTACTCTGACCTAGTATATCTACTAATCAGATTATTCAGCCTGCACTTTCTTATCTACTACTAATTATAGCTTAGTAGTCTCCAATACTAACCCAAATACTAGTCGCAAAAGAACTAGAGAACTATCCAATATTTTCCCACTTGTAACAACCCCTAACAAAGCCACTAAAGGTTTACCTGATAATATTGCCTCATCTACAAGAGCACAAGCCAATACTAAGCCTACTGGTACACGATCCACATATAGCCAAGTTATCTAAACAAATCTCAAGTTACTCAAAACAGAGGCTCTAAAAGATGAAATGGCATGGGTGAATAATGTATACCTCAAAACAGTTACACCTATTGATACACCCTTCAACACTAACTCTTGGATAGTTAAAAAAATTGCTAAGGTACTTGAAACCCCAGAGGGTATCTATGAATTTACTAGCTATAAGCTAGTTACTATTCCAACACAACACAAGCTACCCAAAGCAATTGCTTTTAAGTTTGCCCACCAGAATATCTGATTTTTTATTACCTTTATACGTAACTCTAGAACCACCTCTACACATCAAAAGGAATATACAGAGATTTTTAACAAGGCCCTAGCAGCATATAAACATGATTACAAGATCACACTTACCAATGCTAATACTCACAATACTATCTATGCTATGCTTAAAAAGTACCTTACACATATAGAGAAATATGTAGTGCTATCCAGTATACTAGAGGCTTCTTAAAAATCAAAACCACCAGTGAAAAAACCCCTAGAGAAATCAGAGCCCAAATTAATAGAGTACTTGAAAACAAGCTTATCTCATTACCAGATATGCCAGAAGAAATAACACATGAAATTTTGGAGATTCTACCTTTTAAACTCCAAATCAAAGTACGATCACATACTAAAGCAGTAGTCAATGCTCTTAGAAGGATCTTCAAATTTGACAAGCTCCCCGATACCTATTTTATCGAACTCTC